ACCCACCAAACCCCAGAATCCAGTTTCAAGGACCAATTTAAATTAAGAGGAAACACAGAAGAGTATTGTGATTTAAGCATTTCCAACCTGACACAAGAGGACAGTGCAGTGTATTTCTGTTCTGCCAGAGAGCACAGTCCAGCAGATCCTATCTCAGCCCTACAAAACCCACATCTCAAATACACAGTCACACCTCACACCTTCACTACAGTGTCCTGAACCACATCCTCAATACTAAACATCCTCAATACTAAACATCCACAATACTAAACATCCTCAATACTAAACATCCTCACTACTAAACATCCTCACTACTAAACATCCTCACTACTAAACATCCTCACTACTAAACATCCTCAATACTAAACATCCTCACTACTAAACATCCTCACTACTAAACATCCTCAATACTAAACATCCTCAATACTAAACATCCTCAATACTAAACATCCACAATACTAAACATCCTCAATACTAAACATCCTCAATACTAAACATCCTCAATACTAAACATCCTCAATACTAGACATCCTCAATACTAAACATCCTCACTACTAAACATCCTCACTACTAAACATCCACAATACTAAACATCCACAATACTAAACATCCTCAATACTAAACATCCACAATACTAAACATCCTCAATACTAAACATCCTCAATACTAAACATCAACATAAATAAACATCCACAATAATACAAATCCCAAAAAATTATAACATTTAGGGTTTATTTCCTTCAAAATAAAGAGAGCCTTTCTTTTTTACAAACTCCATGTTTTGTTTTATGTCACTGTAGCAACGCCTTCCAGCCGATCCAGCAGAGAGCAGTGATGTCACACTGTACTGTAGGGTGATACATCAGCTATAAGCTCCTCCCACCTCAGAACAAAGACTCAGAACTCTCAGAATGTGTGTTGGTGTTCTACATTCTACTCATAGAGATGGAGGTATCACTGATTCTGCTGCAACACCCAGAGCAGGGCTCTCCAAGCTTGTCTAGCATGACAGATACTTTTAAACAATTTAACATGTCGCGAGTGACTCTTTTTTTTTTTTTATAGCTTTCAAATGTGTTTTCTGTCAATATACCTGGTAAAAATGATCGTTAATAAACAGCATTGGGCATGACAGGCCTCATAAAATAATATTTTGTATTTTCCCGAATTCTGTGTCTCGATTTTATTTTTCCTGGTTTTGGATTTGTTTCTGTTTTTTTACCCTAAATATTACAATTATTCATAGAGAAACAACAAAAAATGGATGTTCTCCGTCTGTCAAAGCTTGAATCACATCAGAAGACCATTTTTGAGGTCTCGATTAATTTGTGAAACTCCCCTTTAATTGTGCATCTAGCAAGAGAGGAAAGTGTCAGTCTAGAGATGTTGCGGCTGTTTGGGGTACTGCTGCAGCACATGGCATGGCAGAGTTTGTAAAGCAATGGCCACCTAATTGATACAAATCATTATGATAGAGTTCTGCCAGGGAAGCCTACTTTGCGCTTAACATATATTAATTGAGAAGGTTTTTGGGGAAAGTATTTCTGTCTACCCACAAAACGTTTATCATTGCATTGCTAAGTGGCTACATATGGCAGGGACGGACTGGGACAAAAATTAAACCCCGGCATTTTATAAGCACCTGCCTACATCACTGAGTTCCTCGGGCGGGGAGATTCAACTCACCCACTATAATTTTTTTTCCTCTTCGGGAGATAAAACTCCCCCCTAAAAAATTTTCCTCTGTCGGGGAGTTACAACTCCCACTAAAAACTGTTCCTCTGCCCTGGAGACCAACTCACCACTAAACTTTCCCTCTGTTTTGAGTACAACTCCCCAAACTAAAAATTTTTTTCCCCTTCTGTTTTGGAGATAAAACTCCCCACTATAATTTTCCCTCTGTTTTGGAAATACAACCCCACCACTAAAACTGTTCCCCCCTTGTCGGGAGATCCCCTCACCCACTAAAACGGTCGTCTGGAGCCCAAAACCCCCCTCCCACATAACTGTTCCTCTGTCGGAGATACAACTCACCACAAACGGGTTCTGTCTGGAGCCCAAAACTCACCCACTATAACTTTTCCCCTCTTCTGGAGATACAACTCCCCTAAACTTTTCCCCTCTTCGGGAGAAAACAACCCCACCACTAAAAACGGGTTCCTCTTTCTGGAGACACAACTCACCACTATAACTGTTCCTCTGTCTGGAGATACAACTCACCACTATAACTGTTCCTCTGTCTGGAGATACAACTCACCACTATAACTGTTCCTCTGTCTGGAGATACAACTCACCACTATAACTGTTCCTCTGTCTGGAGATACAACTCACCACTATAACTGTTCCTCTGTCTGGAGATACAACTCACCACTATAAACTGGTCCTGTCTGGAGATCAAACTCACCACTATAACTGTTCCTCTGTCTGGAGATACAACTCACCACTATAACTGGTCTGTCTGGAGATACAACTCACCACTATAACTGTTCCTCTGTCTGGAGATACAACTCACCACTATAACTGTTCCTCTGTCTGGAGATACAACTCACCACTATAACTGTTCCTCTGTCTGGAGATACAACTCACCACTATAACTGTTCCTCTGTCTGGAGATACAACTCACCACCTATAACTGTTCCTCTGTCTGGAAATACAACTAAACCACAAAAAACTTTTTCCCTCTGTCTGGAGATACAACTAAACCCCCCAAAACCCTTTTCCCTTTCTTTCTGGAGATAAAACTCCCACTTAACTGTTCCTTTTTGTTGGAGATAAAAACTAAACCCCAAAAAAACGTTCCTCTGTCGGGAAAATTTTCAACTCCCCCACTAAAACTTTTCCCCTCTGTCGGGGTTTAACCCAACCACCACTATAACTGTTCCTCTGTCGGGAGATAAAACTCACACTATAAAAAAGAAAACCCCCAATCCAGTTCCCCCCGTGGGCCCCCCGGGTGTCCAAAAACTTTGATGCACTCGGCTGCAAAAACCTTCCCCCCCTTTAAATTTTTTCCCTTACCCCAAGGTTTTTCCCCTTTCCGGGTTCCTGGGGGGCCAAAACCCTTCCCTGTTTTTTATTTTTTCCGGGTATTTAAAATTGCACTCCCCCCGGGTTGACCCAGGTCTAAATTAAACCCCCTAAATTAAAAGGAGAGGATGAAAAACAGAGGTGTTTCGGCCCTCCAGGACCGGAATTGAAGAACCCTGTTCTACGCCATGGCCCAAACCAGTGATACCAAAGAAGATTTCATGATCGGCCCCCTCTCGTCACCACCCTTCCCCATCTACAGGATCAGACCCATAGGGATAGCAACACTAAGTACTCTGGAAGGAAACAACTAATTATTGACCTCTCTGCCCCCCGCAACAGCCACATCCCCAGTATCAATAGCCTCATTCCCAGCCAAGACTTCTCTTTAGAGTATCTTTTCCAGAAATTCAGGACCGTGGCGCTAGCCTCCGACTCCAATTCCTCAGTTTTCAGAAACCATCTTCACATGAACCCTTCCCTCCGCCACCTGATTGCCCAATGAACCATCCAACCAACCGCCATTGGGTCCATCTCCATCTCATCATCTTCAAATCCGTTTTCCTCTTTCACTTCTCCGGACACTCCTTCCAGATCGGTGCCGCCACCTCTGCTTCTCACCAAGGGCTGCCTGACCACACAGTTCAACTTCTAGGCCGCTGGTCCTCCCAAGCCTACCACAGCTACATCCGATCCAACCCACAAGATCACCTCTGAGCCCACAATAGCCTCTGTTCCTGAACCATTATCCTTCAGTCCTGACCTTTTGGGGTTTGCACTGCACAAGCCACCTACCCCGAACAGGACTGCTTCCCCTACACCAAGAGCACTCGTTCTCCAGCGTCCTTTGAACAACCACACCACTACACCAAGAGCACTCGTTCTCCAGCGTCTTACGGACAACCTTGGCCCTACACCAAGAGCACTCGTTCTCCAACGTTCTATGGACAACCACACCCCTACACCAAAAGCAGTTGCTCTCCAGTGTCCTAAGGACAACCTTGTACGTAGTGTAGAATGCCTCTCTGAACGTTTTCAACTTAAAGCGACCCCAACACAGTGGAGTGTATTTCTGTGCTGCTAGTTATGCACATTGTTGCAGAACCCCCTGTCTACACTACAAAAACCGTCTCAGTAGATTATACCATAAAATGAAACATCTTCCTCAAAACTGCATTTGAGATCTGAATTTGATTGTGCCAATTTAACAGGGTTTTGCCATTACATCAGTGATGATTTCACTTCCTGTTCCTCCTCCTCTCCAGTCAGTAGAGATGGTTTGATGGTTGATTCAGATTAGTTGGTTGTTGATGATCATCAGTGATGATGTCACTTCCTGTTCCTCCTCCTCTCCAGTCAGTTGAGATGGTTTGATGGTTGATTCAGATTAGTTGGTTGTTGATGATCATCGGTGATGATGTCACTATTCCTGTTCCTCCTCCTCTCCAGTCAGTTGAGATGGTTTGATGGTTGATTCAGATTAGTTGGTTGTTGATGATCATCGGTGATGATGTCACTTCCTGTTCCTCCTCCTCCCCAGGCAGTTGAGATGGTTTGACGGTTGATTCAGATTAGTTGGTTGTTGATGACCATCGGTGATGATGTCACTTCCTGTTCCTCCTCCTCTCCAGTCAGTTGAGATGGTTTGACGGTTGATTCAGATTAGTTGGTTGTTGATGATCATCAGTGATGATGTCACTTCCTGTTCCTCCTCCTCTCCAGTCAGTAGAGATGGTTTGATGGTTGATTCAAGATTAGTTGGTTGTTGATGATCATCAGTGATGATGTCACTTCCTGTTTCCTCCTCCTCTCCAGTCAGTAGAGATGGTTTGATGGTTGATTCAGATTAGTTGGTTGTTGATGATCATCAGTGATGATGTCACTTCCTGTTCCTCCTCCTCTCCAGTCAGTAGAGATGGTTTGATGGTTGATCCAGATTAGTTGGTTGTTGATGATCATCACTGACAGTCAACATGTACAAACCTGTCATCATCTACACACTATTTTGGCTGACAGGTAATAATCTAGGAAATGATCATTTGTTGTAGATTCATAATATGGTATGATGTATATTCATCCTTTCTGTATGCCTATGCTAGTGAAAGTCTTCTCTCCATCTCTCCTCAGGTCTCTCTCTCAGTGTTGAGGTTCACCAGACTCCCTCTGCAGTCTTCAGCAGACCAGGAGAGAATGTTCAACTCTTCTGCAACCATCAGAAATCAGACTATAGAGTGATACTGTGGTACCAACGTACACCTGGAGAAACCGCACTGAAACTCATAGGATATTTGAATTATAATTCTCAAACCATTGAGAGTTCATATGACAAACATTTCAATATGAGTGGGGATTTGAGTGGCGATGGCCCAAAGAATGCCTCTCTGAACATGTTCAACTTAAAACGACCCCAACACAGTGCAGTGTATTTCTGTGCTGCTAGTTATGCACAGTGTTGCAGATTCCCCTGTCTACACTACAAAAACCTTCTCTCATTCACTGTCTCAGTAGATTATACCGAAGCAACACCTCCCTCACACCTGCACTGAGCTCTGGATTTGATTCAGTGCCAATATAATATCACAGTAAAGCTGTCTGGATTCTGTCATTACATCACTGATGAGGTCACTTCCTGTTCCTCCTCTCCAGTCAGTTCAGATGAGATGTCAGTTGGTTGTCAACGATCACTAAGTCAACATGATCAGACCTCTTCTCATTGTCACTGTCCCACTATTCTGGATCACAGGTAATTTAAGCAACAGTTATTTAGTAGTTCCCTACAATACGTATTAAACATGAAAGTGTAGCAATTTGCATTAATGTGTACAAATAATTACTAATCAAAGGTTTTCTGTAAACTTGAGAAATGGTGGTACAATCCTTTGTTATGTACTGTAAAATATAAATAATGTTCTCTCTCTCCCCACAGGTGTCTCTCTCAGTAAATCAGTGTCCCAGTCTCCCTCCGCGTTGCTGGTAAAGCCTAATACTTCTGTCACACTCAACTGCAGTCATAAAATCCCCAGCTATGACACTATCCTCTGGTACCAGCGTTCTGTGGGAGACACGGCCCTAAACCTCATAGCGTATACATACTATAAAACCCTTACAGTTGAACCCCCATATAAAGGTTATTTTGACGTGACAGGAGATGGAGAGAATGATGCCTACCTTCATCTCCTCAAACTGAGACAAGCTGAAGACAGTGGGGAGTATTTCTGTGCAGCCAGTCTACACAGTGGTGCAGATACCAAGTCTACTCTACAAAAACCTCTACCTTTCAGATCCATCTGACACTATAATCAACACACCTGCATTAAACCACATGAACTAACAAGCTGTTCAGGAAAGGACGGGGGGAAAAAAGAAGGGAGGGGGCGGTTGGGGGGGGGGGAAAGGGGGAAGCTATGAGGGAGAGAGAGAGAGAGGGGAAGGTTTTAGCAAGCATTTTTGGGATAAAAAAAAAGGAAGAGAAGAGAGAGAGAGAAAATGGTTTTGGGGGAGAAAAAAAATGGGGTTTTTTCCCTTCTCTTTTTCTCTCTCTCCTCTCTCTTCCCTCCTCTTTCTTCCTCTCTTTTTCTTCCCTTCTCTCCTCTTCGTCTTTCCCCCTTCTTCTCTTTTCCCCTCCCCCCCTTTCCCACCCCTTTTCCCCCCTTTCCCCTGTTTCCTTTCCCTTTCCCCTTTCCCCTTTTTTTTCCCCCCCCTGCTGATCTTTTTTTCCCCCTTTGTTTTTTTTTCCCCCCGAAACCCTTTTTTTCCTCATTTTTTTATACAAAATTTTTTCCCCCTTTTCCCCCCCCTTTTTTTTTTCCCCCCTTTTTTTTCCCCCCTCCTCCTCCCCTCTTTTTGTCCTCTGTTTTTTCCCCCCTCTTTTCCTCTCCTCCTCCCCCTCCTTTTTTCCTCCCCCCCCCCCTCCCCCTTCTTGTCCCTCCTCTCCTCCCCTTTTCCCTTCTCCTCCCCTCTCCTCCTCTCTTCCTCTTCCTCATCTTCCGCTCCTCCCCTCCTCCCCCCCCTCCTCCTTTCCCCTCTCCTCCTCCTTTTTTCCCCCTTTCCCAGGGTTGGGTCAGGTACCAAGTTGTCCAACCCTCTACCTTGGAAACCGACCCCAAACTCCCTGACTCAGCTGTTCTCCCTACAAAGACTTTTTGGTTACCCCGGGGCGACAGTTCATTCTCAGGACCGACAGCTAAAAACTGCTGGGAACCTTTACACACCCACCAAGCCCAAATCCTTTAAAGGCCAATTAAATTAAGGGAAAACAGAAGAGTATTGTGATTTAAGCTTTTTCCAACCTCACAAGAGACAGTGCAGTTATTTTTTGTGTGCCAAAGCAGAGTGCACGATCCTTTTCACCCTACAAAAACCCCCATCTCAAAAACCGTCCACCTCACACCTTCACACAGTTTTTCTGAAACCCATCCCCATACTAAAAAATCCTCAATACCAAAAAAACCCCCAAAAATAAAAATCCCACTACAACACCCCCTACTAAATCCTCAATATTAAACATTTTCAATCTAACATCCCTACTAAAAATCCTCACTATAAACATCCTCAATACAAACCCCCCAAAAACTAACATCCTCCACTAACACCCACTAACACCCCCAATACTTAAAAATCCCCAATACTAAAAATCCACAATCTAAACTCCTCAAAATAAACATCCTCAATACAAAACCCTCACACTAAACATCCTCAAAACTAAAAATCCTCAATACTAAACTCCCAAAACTAAAAATCCAAATACTAAACACCCAATCTAAACATCCTCATACTAACATCCTCAATACTAACAACCCACTAAAACACCCCAATACAAAAACCTCAAACTAAACATCCCCAAACCAACAAACATCCTCATACTAAAAATCCTAAAAACAAACCCCCTCAATACTAAAAACCCAATACTAAAAAATCTTTTACTAAACATCCTCTACTAAAAAAATCCTCACTACCCCAAACACCTCAAAACTAAACTCCTCAAAATAACACCTCAAACAACATCCTCACTACTAAACATCCCATACTAAAAAACCTCAATACTAACTCCCACTAAACATCCACAATACTAAACACCTCAATACTAAACTCCCAAACAAACATCCTCAATCCAAATCCCAAACTAACTCCCAAAACTAACATCCCAAAACTAAACATCCTCACTACTAAAATCCTCATACTAAACATCCCAAACAAACACCTCAATAATAAAAATCCTCCACTAAACATCCCAATCTAACATCCACAAAAACCCAAACAAAACCTCAATCTAAACTCCTCAAAACTAACATCCCCAAAACAAAATCCTCAAAAACTAAACCCCAATACCAAATCCTCAAAACTAAAAATCCCATACTAAAAAACCACTACTAAACATCCTCAAAACAAATCTTCATACTAAACACCCAATACTAAACATCCTCACTACTAAACTCCTCAATACTAAACTCCTCAACTAAACCTCCCACCTAAAAATCCCAATACAACATCCTCATACTAAAAAAACCTCACACTAAACATCCACAAAACTAAACCCTAATCTAAAAAAATCCCAATCCAAAAAAATCCCAATACCAAACATCCTCAATACTAAACATCCTCAAACAACCCCCCCCCAATCTAAACTCCTCACTACAACTCCTCACTACAAACCCCTCCTCAATTCTCCTCAACTAACTCCTCACTACAACACCCCCAAATACTAACTCCCAATACTAAAAATCCCCAATACTAACATCCTCCCCCAAACTAAACTCCTCAATAAAAACACCCAAAACCTCCCAATACAAACAAACCTCACTACTAAACATCCCCTACTAAACCCTCAAACTAAACATCCTCATACTAACCCCAAAACTAAAAAAACCTCAATACAAACTCCTCAACAACTCCTCAATATAAAAATCCTCAAAACTAAAACCCCAACAAACACCTCAATCTAACATCCCAATCTAAACCCTCCTATAAAAACCCAAACAAACATCCACAAAACTAACATCCTCAATAAACTCCTCAAACTAAAAATCCTTACTACTAAACATCCCACTACTACATTAAACTGTTCCCCCTGTCTGGGGATCAACTCACCCTTAACTTTCCTCTGTCTGGGGAAAAAACAAATCACCACAAACTGTTCCTCTGTCTGGAGATATAACCACCACTATAACTGTTTTCCCCTGTCTGGAATACAACTCACCACTATAACTGTTCCTCTGTCTGGAGATACAACTCACCACTATAACTGTTCCTCTGTCTGGAGATACAACTCACCACTATAACTAGTCTGTCTGGAGACACAACTCACCACTATAACTGTTCCTCTGTCTGGAGATACAACTCATCACTATAAAAAGACACGTCCCATCCAGTTCTCCGTGGGCCGCATGGTGTCCAACAACTTTGATGCACTCGGCTGCAACACCTCCTCCTGCAAGTTGCTCCATCTACGCCAGGGTTCTTCAATTCCGGTCCTGGAGGGCCGAAACACTTCTGTTTATTATTTTTTCCTGGTAGTTAATTGCACTCACCTGTTGACCCAGGTCTGAATTAGCCCCTGATTAGAAGGAGAGGATGAAAAACAGAGGTGTTTCGGCCCTCCAGGACCGGAATTGAAGAACCCTGTTCTACGCCATGGCCCAAACCAGTGATACCAAAGAAGATTTCATGATCGGCCCCCTCTCGTCACCACCCTTCCCCATCTACAGGATCAGACCCATAGGGATAGCAACACTAAGTACTCTGGAAAGAAACAACTCATTATTGACCTCTCTGCCCCCCGCAACAGCCACATCCCCAGTATCAATAGCCTCATTCCCAGCCAAGACTTCTCTTTAGAGTATCTTTTCCAGAAATTCAGGACCGTGGCGCTAGCCTCCGACTCCAATTCCTCCGTTTTCAGAAACCATCTTCACCTGAACCCTTCCCTCCGCCACCTGATCGCCCAATGAACCATCCAACCAACCGCCATTGGGTCCATCTCCATCTCATCATCTTCAAATCCGTTTTCCTCTTTCACTTCTCCGGACACTCCTTCCAGATCGGTGCCGCCACCTCTGCTTCTCACCAAGGGCTGCCTGACCACACAGTTCAACTTCTAGGCCGCTGGTCCTCCCAAGCCTACCACAGCTACATCCGATCCAACCCACAAGATCACCTCTGAGCCCACAATACCCTCTGTTCCTGAACTATTATCCTTCAGTCCTGACCTTTTGGGGTTTGCACTGCACAAGCCACCTACCCCGAACAGGACTGCTTCCCCTACACCAAGAGCACTCGTTCTCCAGCGTCCTTTGGACAACCACACCACTACACCAAGAGCACTCGTTCTCCAGCGTCTTACGGACAACCTTGGCCCTACACCAAGAGCACTCGTTCTCCAACGTTCTATGGACAACCACACCCCTACACCAAAAGCAGTTGCTCTCCAGTGTCCTAAGGACAACCTTGTACGTAGTGTAGAATGCCTCTCTGAACGTTTTCAACTTAAAGCGACCCCAACACAGTGGAGTGTATTTCTCTGCTGCTAGTTATGCACATTGTTGCAGAACCCCCTGTCTACACTACAAAAACCGTCTCAGTAGATTATACCATAACATGAAACATCTTCCTCAAAACTGCATTTGAGATCTGAATTTGATTGTGCCAATTTAACAGGGTTTTGCCATTACATCAGTGATGATTTCACTTCCTGTTCCTCCTCCTCTCTAGTCAGTAGAGATGGTTTGACGGTTGATTCAGATGAGTTGGTTGTTGATGATCATCAGTGATGATGTCACATCCTGTTCCTCCTCCTCTCCAGTCAGTAGAGATGGTTTGATGGTTGATTCAGATTAGTTGGTTGTTGATGATCATCAGTGATGATGTCACTTCCTGTTCCTCCTCCTCTCCAGTCAGTAGAGATGGTTTGATGGTTGATTCAGATTAGTTGGTTGTTGATGATCATCAGTGATGATGTCACGTCCTGTTCCTCCTCCTCCCCAGGCAGTTGAGATGGTTTGATGGTTGATTCAGATTAGTTGGTTGTTGATGATCATCAGTGATGATGTCACTTCCTGTTCCTCCTCCTCTCCAGTCAGTTGAGATGGTTTGATGGTTGATTCAGATTAGTTGGTTGTTGATGATCATCGGTGATGATGTCACTTCCTGTTCCTCCTCCTCTCCAGTCAGTAGAGATGGTTTGATGGTTGATTCAGATTAGTTGGTTGTTGATGATCATCACTGACAGTCAACATGTACAACCCTCTCATCATCTTCACACTATTTTGGCTGACAGGTAATAATCTAGGAAATTATCATTTGTTGTAGATTCATAATATGGTATGATGTATATTCATCCTTTATGTATGCCTATGCTAGTGAAAGTCTTCTCTCCATCTCTCCTCAGGTCTCTCTCTCAGTGTTGAGGTTCACCAGACTCCCTCTACAGTCTTCAGCAGACCAGGAGAGAATGTTCAACTCTTCTGCCACCATCAGAAATCAGACTACACACTAATGTTTTGGTACCAGAAATCACAAGGAGAAACCGCACTGAAACTCATAGGAAATCTGTATCATAAAAATCCAACCATTGAGAGTTCATATGACAAACATTTCAATATGAGTGGGGATTTGAGTGGCGGTGGCCCAAAGAATGCCTCTCTGAACATGTTCAACTTAAAACGACCCCAACACAGTGCAGTGTATTTCTGTGCTGCTAGTTATGCACAGTGTTGCAGATTCCCCTGTCTACACTACAAAAACCTCCTCTCATTCACTGTCTCAGTAGATTAAACCGAAGCAACACCTCCCTCACACCTGCACTGAGCTCTGGATTTGATTCAGTGCCAATATAATATCACAGTAAAGCTGTCTGGATTCTGTCATTACATCACTGATGAGGTCACTTCCTGTTCCTCCTCTCCAGTCAGTTCAGATGAGATGAGATGTCAGTTGGTTGTCAACGAGCACTAAGGCCGTGTCTAGACTTTACATTTACATTTTACATTTTTGTCATTTAGCAGACGCTCTTATCCAGAGCCACTTACAGTTAGTGAGTGCATACATTTTTAAATACATTTGTTTCATACTGCTCCAGAGCGCTCAGGACCTCAGACTGGGGTGAAGGTTCACCTTCCAACAGGACAACGACCCTAAGCACACAGCCAAGACAACGCAGGAGTGGCTTCGGGACAAGTCTCTGAATGTCCTTGAGTGGCCCAGCCAGAGCCCGGACTTGAACCCAATCGAACATCTCAGGAGAGACCTGAAAATAGCTGTGCAGCGACGCTCCCCATCCAACCTGACAGAGCTTGACAGGATCTGCAGAGAAGAATGGGAGAAACTCCCCAAATACAGGTGTGCCAAGCTTGTAGCGTCATACCCAAGAAGACTTGAGGTTGTAATCGCTGCCAAAGGTGCTTCAACAAAAGTATTGAGTAAAGGGTCTGAAAAAAAAACAACAAAAAAAACTTGACTTGACAGTTTATGCAGCTTAAGTATTCTGATCATAGAGTTCTGATCATGGAATTCCAAACACGTCATGCGTCTACACCTACATTGTCCGATTCCCTTTTCCCCGCTCTATATTAAAATGCCAGTATGCATTCTACAAACGGTGGAATAGGCTAAATATGATAACAAAACAACAACTGATGGCAGTGGCTAACTACTGTGGCTAACTACTGTGGCTAACTACTGTAGCTAACTAGCCAGCTATCCGCTGCAGCTAGCCAGCAAGCTAGAAAGAAACGCTAAAGGGATTGCACATGGGTTAGCATAACTCTAGCCAAACATTTATTTTTCTTCTAAATATTAGCTAGCTGGCTAGCATTTATGAGGCTAAGCAAACACGTTCCTCACACACGTTAGGAACGTATTTCCTCCAATGTTTTAATGAAAAGGTGCCTCACAGTCCCAAAACACATGTTTCCTGGAGACTTGTGGGAGGAGTGCTGATGAAGTCGCCCACTGTATCCGCTTTCGGTGGCCTGATTGAATCCAGACTGAGGAGAAATCCGCACATAATGCATTCCTGACCACCTACTGAAGTGGTCAATCAGATCCGAACACAATGTAGACACGACCTAAGTCAACATGATCTCGTATCATTATCACTGTCCAACTATTCTGGATCACAGGTCATTTAAACTACAGTTAGTTCCCTACAATACTTATTAAATATGTGTCATGACTCACCTGACAGTTGATCAAAGGACCCATCAGCTTGGCAAATGTTTGAAGATAGACAGAACAGAATAGAGGAAGGGGGGGGCTGTGCCGGTCTTGACACCTTAACAGTGGTTCGTAAATTTAAGCATGAGAGAACTCTCTCCCTGGCTCTCTAGTATTGAGAAAATAATGCCTTTGTCTAGGGAGAGAGTTTGCCGCCAATACCTTTTTCCCTAAAAAGTGAACATTGGAACATTTATTTCTATCATCCGAATGTTTAGAAGGGTCAGTGGGGACCTAAGGAATAATCATGTCATATTGTTTATTATTTTGTGATGTCATTAAGGATGGTATAACGAAATAACTGTTATCGATATATGACATATATATATTTTAGAGTTAAATTCGGGAGATGCTAACTCTATAAACAACTTTTTCCGTGGTGCCCCAAATTCCTAATGAGTTAATTGTTACATGATTAATTTAATCGGGTAACAATTAAACATGGTAAGTTGTTCGATAAATAACAGTCATCACATTAATGAAAGTCACGTCACGACATATGAAAGTTTAACAATTTGCATGAATATGTATCCAAATGATTATCAATGTACTATCAACACCTGCATTAAACCACATTAACTAACAGACCTCTGTTCAGAGAGAGAGGGGGGGAGGGGGAGAGAGAGAGAGAGAGAGAGTTTAGAGGGAGAGAGAGAGAGAGAGAGAGGTTAGAGGGGGAGAGAGAGAGAGAGAGAGAACATTTGATCATCTCCTCTTCCTCTCCTCCTCTTCCTCCTCTTCCTCTTCTCTTCCTCCTCTTCCTCTTCTTCATCCTCTCCTCCTCTTCCTCCTCTCCTCCTCTTCCTCCTCCCGGGGTTGGGTCTAGGTACCAGAGTTGTCCAGACTCCTGCTACCTTGGTAACGACCCCAAGAGACTCCGCTGATCTCAACTGTTCTCACAGTATAAAATACTATGATGTTATCCAATGGGGCAGACAGTCTCATTCTCAGGACCGACAGCTACAACTGCTGGGGTACCTTTACACAACCCACCAAACCCCAGAATCCAGTTTCAAGGACCAATTTAAATTGAGAGGAACCACAGAAGAGTATTGTGATTCAAGCATTTCCAACCTGACACAAGAGGACAGTGCAGTGTATTTCTGTGCTGCCAGAGAGCACAGGGCAGCATATCCTATCTCAGACCTACAAAACCCACATCTCAAATACACAGTCACACCTCACACCTTCACTACAGTGTTCTGAACCACATCCTCACTACTAAACATCCTCACTACTAAACATCCTCAATACTAAACATCCTCAATACTAAACATCCTCAATACTAAACATCCACAATACTAAACATCCTCAATACTAAACATCCTCAATACTAACATACACAATACTAAACATCCTCAATACTAAACATCCACAATTAACATCCTAAAAAAAATGATAACATTTAGGTTTTATTTTCTTCAGAAAGACATAGATCTAACTCTACAGCTCTGACTGACAGACAGACAGACAGACAGCATGATCAGAGTTCTCCTCACATCTACTGTCTCACTCCTCTGGCTCACAGTTGAAGGTAAGGTTCAGTACATCAGGTGAAGGTATGGTTCAGTATATAAGGTGAAGGTAAGGTTCAGTACATCAGGTGAAGTGAAAGGTTCAGTACATCAGGTGAAGGTAAGGTTCAGTATATCAGGTGAAGGTAAGGTTCAGTATATCAGGTGAAGGTAAGGTTCAGTATATCAGGTGAAGGTAAGGTTCAGTATATCAGGTGAATGTAAGGTTCAGTATATCAGGGGAAGGTATGGTTCAGTATATAAGGTGAAGATAAGGTTCAGTATATCAGGTGAAGGTAAGGTTCAGTATATCAGGTGAAGGTAAGGTTCAGTATATCAGGTGAATGTAAGGTTCAGTATATCAGGGGAAGGTATGGTTCAGTACATCAGGTGAAGGTAAGGTTCAGTATATCAGGTGAAGGTAAGGTTCAGTATATCAGGTGAATGTAAGGTTCAGTATATCAGGTGAATGTAATGTTCAGTATATCAGGTGAAGGTAAGGTTCAGTATATCAGGTGAAGGTAAGGTTCAGTATATCAGGCGAATGTAAGGTTCAGTATATCAGGTGAATGTAAGGTTCAGTATATCAGGTGAAGGTAAGGTTCAGTATATCAGGTGAATGTAAGGTTCAGTATATCAGGTGAATGTAAGGTTCAGTATATCAGGTGAAGGTAAGGTTCAGTATATCAGGTGAAGGTAAGGTTCAGTACATCAGGTGAATGTAAGGTTCAGTATATCAGGTGAAGGTAAGGTTCCGTATATTAGGTGAAGGTAAGGTTCAGTATATCAGGTGAAGGTAAGGTTCAGTATATCAGGTGAAGGTAAGGTTCAGTATATCAGGTGAAGGTAAGGTTCAGTATATCAGGTGAAGTTAAGGTTCAGTATAACAGGTGAATGTAAGGTTCAGTATATCAGGTGAAGGTAAGGTTCAGTATATCAGGTGAAGGTAAGGTTCAGTATATCAGGTGAAGTTAAGGTTCAGTATATCAGGTGAATGTAAGGTTCAGTATATCAGGTGAAGGTAAGGTTCAGTATATCAGGTGAAGGTAAGGTTCAGTATATCAGGTGAAGGTAAGGTTCAGTATATCAGGTGAATGTAAGGTTCAGTATATCAGGTGAAGGTAAGGTTCAGTATATTAGGTGAAGGTAAGGTTCAGTATATCAGGTGAAGTTAAGGTTCAGTATAACAGGTGAATGTAAGGTTCAGTATATCAGGTGAAGGTAAGGTTCAGTATATCAGGTGAAGGTAAGGTTCAGTATATCAGGTGAAGTTAAGGTTCAGTATATCAGGTGAATGTAAGGTTCAGTATATCAGGTGAAGGTAAGGTTCAGTATATCAGGTGAAGGTAAGGTTCAGTATATCAGGTGAATGTAAGGTTCAGTATATCAGGTGAAGGTAAGGTTCAGTATATCAGGTGAAGGTAAGGTTCAGTATATCAGGTGAAGGTAAGGTTCAGTATATCAGGTGAAGTAAAGGTTCAGTACATCACTTCACAATAACAGCACTTACACTTGACCGGGGCAGCTCTATCAGGGCATAAATTTGACGAACTGACTTGTTTGAAAGGTGGCATCATCCTATGACAGTGCCACGTTGAAAGTCACTGAGCTCTTCAGTAAGGCCATCGTACTGCCAACGTTTGTCTATGGAGATTGCATGGCGGTGTGCTCGATGTTATACACTTGTCTGCAATGGGTGTCCACATACTTTTGTATATGTAATGTATATATACAGTGGGGGAAAAAAGTATTTAGTCAGCAACCAATTGTGCAAGTTCTCCCACTTAAAAAGATGAGAGAGGCCTGTAATTTTCATCATAGGTACACGTCAACTATGACATACAAAATGAGGAAAAAAAATCCAGAAAATCACATTGTGGGATTTTTAATGAATTTATTTGCAAATTATGGTGGAAAATAAGTATTTGGTCAATAACAAAATTTTCTCAATACTTTGTTATATACCCTTTGTTGGCAATGACACAGGTCAAACGTTTTCTGTAAGTCTTCACAAGGTTTTCACACACTGTTACTGGTATTTTGGCCCATTCCTCCATGCATATCTCCTCTAGAGCAGTGATGTTTTGGGGCTGTCGCTGGGCAACACGGACTTTCAACTCCCTCCAAAGATTTTCTATGGGGTTGAGATCTGGAGACTGGCTAGGCCACTCCAGGACCTTGAAATGCTTCTTACGAAGCCACTCCTTCGTTGCCCGGGCGGTGTGTTTGGGATCATTGTCATGCTGAAAGACCCAGCCACGTTTCATCTTCAATGCCCCTGCTGATGGAAGGAGGTTTTCACTCAAAATCTCACGATACATGGCCCCATTCATTCTTTCCTTTACACGGATCAGTCGTCCTGGTCCCTTTGCAGAAAAACAGCCCCAAAGCATGATGTTTCCACCCCCATGCTTCACAGTAGGTATGGTGTTCTTTGGATGCAACTCAGCATTCTTTGTCCTCCAAACACGACGAGTTGAGTTTTTACCAAAAAGTTCTATTTTGGTTTCATCTGACCATATGACATTCTCCCAATCCTCTTCTGGATCATCCAAATGCACTCTAGCAAACTTCAGACGGGCCTGGACATGTACTGGCTTAAGCAGGGGGACACGTCTGGCACTGCAGGATTTGAGTCCCTGGCGGCGTAGTGTGTTACTGATGGTAGGCTTTGTTACTTTGGTCCCAGCTCTCTGCAGGTCATTCACTAGGTCCCCCCGTGTGGTTCTGGGATTTTTGCTCACCGTTCTTGTGATCATTTTGACCCCATGGGGTGAGATCTTGCGTGGAGCCCCAGATCGAGGGAGATTATCAGTGGTCTTGTATGTCTTCCATTTCCTAATAATTGCTCCCACAGTTGATTTCTTCAAACCAAGCTGCTTACCTATTGCAGATTCAGTCTTCCCAGCCTGGTGCAGGTCTACAATTTTGTTTTTGTTTGGACAATAATGATTTAATTGCATCTCATTCTTGACTGAAATGTCTCTTATCTTGTCTTCTCTTCTCTGTGTTCCAGTGGTGATTCAGACAGTGGTGATCAGACAGTGGTGATTCAGACAGTGGTGATTCAGACAGTGGTGATCAGACAGTGGTGATTCAGACAGTGGTGATTCAGACAGTGGTGATCAGACAGTGGTGATTCAGACAGTGGTGATTCAGACAGTGGTGATTCAGACAGTGGTGATTCAGACAGTGGTGATTCAGACAGTGGTGATCAGACAGTGGTGATTCAGACAGTGGCCCAGGTCCATCTGTAACCAGCCCAACACCTCCGTGATCATGCACTGTCAACTGACTAACACTGACTATGACTACATGTACTGGGACAGGCAGCTCCAGGGAGAGAGCCCTAAACGAATAGCCAGGTTCCTAGCTGGATCAGTGAGCTATGGGGGCAGACTTTAAGTCTGGCTTCAAGGTGTGGAGCCGGGAGTGGAGTAGGATCTCAGTAAGGCAGTGGTCTCTGACAGTCCAGAGGATGCAGAGAAGGGACCAGCAGTGT